GCTTAGACCATCAAGCAGACTTCCGCAAACATAGAATCACAGAATGGTTTGGGTCGGAAGGGACCTTAAAGATCACTCAGTTCCAACCCCCCTGCCATGGGCAGGGACACCCTCCACTACACCAGGTTGCCCAAAGCCCCATCCAACCTGGCCTTGAACACTGCCAGGGATGGGGCAGCCACAGCTTCTCTGGGCAACCTGTGCCAGTGCCTCAGCACCCTCACAGTAAAAAATTTCTTCCTTATATATAACCTAAATCTCCCCTCTTTCAGTTTAAAGCCATTGCCCCGTGTCCTGTCACTACACACCCTTGTAAAATGTCCCTCTCCAGCTTTCCTGTAGGCCCTTTAGGCACTGGAAAGCTGCTATAAGATCACCCCGGAGCCTTCTCTTCTCCAGGCTGAACAGCCCCAACTCTCTGAGTCTGTCTTCATAGCAGAGGTGCTCCAGCCCTTGGATCATCCTCGTGGCCTCCTCTGGACTCATTGCAACAGCTCCATGTCCTTCTTTTGTTAGGTGCCCCAGAGCTGAGTGCAGTACTCCAGGTGGGATGTCATGATAACTAACAACAAGAGAAGAATTTAAACCAAGAAGAAAAAGAAGAGATTGCTTGTTTCTTTCTATTTATGAAGAAACAGATTTATTTTTAATAAAGACAAAGAAGATAAAGTTTTTCAATGTATTAGGAAAAAAACCTGGAAGTATGTTTCATCTGTATGTGTATGTTTCATTGTAAATCCTCTTGTTCAAGATCTCAGGATCTTTAAGTTTTTTCAAAATATGAAGTGGTGTGTTTATCCTTAGAGATGTTCAAAAGCTGCCTGGACACAGTTGTGGGCAACTGGCTTTAGTTGGCCCCACTTGAGCTGGAAGATTGGCCAAAATGACCTTCAGAGGTGCTTCCAACCTCAACCATTCTATGATGGTGTGAAAACAAATGCACTTTGCTTTCAGGCCTTCTTCATTGGCCTTATGGCTTGTTGGCTTCCGTTGTATTAAAAGAGTTTTGTAGTAGTGTCCCACCGATAGAAGAGTCATGAGAATAAAGAGAGGAAGGGCTGTCGGGTACTCTGTTTCATGGGGAATACCTAGGAAGTATAAAAACCCTTGAAATTTCAAGATCTTGAGTTGAATTGATAATTTCTTAGGAATTCCAAGCACGCGTGAAGTCAAAGATATGAAACACCTTCGACTTGGAAATACCACTCCTTTCAGCTTGGAAATACTGTGTTTATAACTTGTTTATTTTCTCTCATGAGAGGGTATCATTTTATTGAATGTAATTATTAATTGAAATTATTTTCACACTTTTTTCCAGTAACTCTGATTCTGAAGTTTTCCCAGAGTATTTGCTACAAGGACGCTGAGCTGTCTTGACTGATCACCCAATGGGTCAGAACAAGACCACAGAGGTGGGGGACCTCTGCAGCGCGTTTCTGCATCTATAATGTAATTATTTTACTTAGAGATTGTTGCTACAGCCAAAGTTTCTGAAAAAAATCTTGCTAAAGTGTATTTGGAAAGTGAATATGCCACAAGCAGAAACCACAAATTAACCAAATAATCCAAAAATCACTTTAGCCTTCACTAACCACTGCTATTGTTACAAGTGAGACTGGAACAAAGAGGTGCAGTGTCAGAACATCTTTATTAGTTTGCTCAGGCACTTTTCGTTCCCACGATGCTACCTGCTGGATCAGGGTTAGATTTAGATCGTTGTAGTAGAGTCACTCCAAGTTTAGTGAGGGTAAACACTCTTGGAAGGAGTTTACAATTGTAATTTACTTTTTCCTTTGTGGTAGCATCCTCAGAGTGTCCTACCGTGTGCTAGGTGCCATACAAACAGAGGATAGTCCTGCACCAAAGACTCTGAGTGCAAAACAAGACAAACTGGTGTGAGGAGCCAAGCACAGGTCAGTGGGCAGTCCTGTCGTTGTAAATGTGAATTAAATTCAGGATTCTCCTCTGTATCTGTTTGGTCCTCGCCCCGTAGATGATGGGGTTGAGCACAGCGGGCACCAGGATGTAAATGTTGCCCATGATGATAGGAACCAGTGGAGGCAAGTCTTTCCCAAACCTGTGCACCACGGAGAGCCCAATCAGGGGCACGTAGAAGGCCAGGACCACACAGATATGGGCAACACAGGTGCTGAACACCTTGAGCCTCTCCTTCCATGATGCCAGCCGCAAGACAGACTTGAGGATCAGGATGTAGGAGAGACAGATGAGGATGGCATCCAGCCCCATGACCAGGAGGATGGCAGTGAGGCCATACACCATGCTGGGGGTGGTGTTGGCACAGGCCAGGTTCATCACGTCCTGATGCAGGCAGAAGGAGTGTGACAGCCTCCGGGACCTGCAGAAGGGAAGGGGCAGGAGGAGCAAAGGCAAAGGCAGGAAGAAGAGGACTCCCCTGGCCATGGCTACCAGTCCTATTTTCGCTGTTGCAGCGTTGGTGAGGATGGCAGCGTGTCTTAGCGGGTGGCAGATGGCCACATACCGGTCCATGGCCATGGCCAGGAGGACAGTGGACTCAATGGCCGAGAGGGTGTGGATGAGGAACATCTGGACAAGGCAGGCACCAAAGCTGATCTCCCTGGTGTTGAACCAGTAGAAGGAGAGGACGCGTGGCACCGTGGATGTGGACAAGGCCAGGTCAATGGCAGCCAGCATGCAGAGGAAGAAGTACATGGGAGCGTGCAGGCTGGGCTCCGTCTTCACAATGATCAGCACCATGCAGTTGCCTGTGACCGCCAAAATGTACATGGAACACAGGAAGATCGCCATCCAGAAATGAGCAGCCTCCAGCCCCGGGATGCTGGCCAGGATGAAGGAGGATGTGCTGAGGTCAGAGCTGTTGGGGAAGGGCATGGCACATGGGGTGAAGAGTGGTCGTGCTA